CACTGTATCCTCAATGACATCATATTATGTGCTGATAATTGAAGATTTTTGATACATTTCAAATTTTGAAACGTATCCATCTAAAGAAGCCCTAATACAAACTTTGAATCCTCATTTCTTCAGTTTGGATTTGTTATACTGTTTATTTCTATGTTTGCTTTTGAAAGGTAGGATCATTTCATCAATTGCATGAAATTCTATCGGTGTCGAGACATTTGCAAAGGTTTCTGATAACATATCCAATAGTGGAGGTACTTTTATAAAAATATCTTATCTACCACTCAATATTTCATTATTGTTTTTATGGTGAAAATATCTCTTTATTTCTTCAAAACGTTTTAAAGACTTTGTTTTTGTTATACGCTTACACAAAATATTAAAATATACTTACGATTTTGTTTAACTAAAAGTACAATCTCGATGGGTAGTTATACACGTATGTGTACATTTAGAAAATTTGTTATAAAATAAAAAATTTATGAGAAATTTTTTTGGGACCTTTTTAAAACTTCTTAAAACGTAATATATTTAATGTATATAATTTTTATTTTATCAAATATTAATAATTTGTTCAAATAATCCAAAAATAATGACTGACAAATATTTATTTCACGATTTTTTCATATATATAATTTTACATCAAAAATATACATTACCAGTGCATCCAAACTAAAAAATAATTATTTCTTTAATGAGGGATTTTGTTGTGAATACATTGGTATCAAATTTTTGTAATATTTATTATTAACAGTAACTATCATTATAAAATAACTACATGTTTAATTGTAACCAAGGGTGTGAAGAGAGTAAATAAATCATGATTATTATATTATTAAATATATATTCTGCATTGTTGACACAAATGCAGAATATATATTTAATAATACAACAATACAAACATCATAACAGTACAAAACATCATAACTCGTGTAGAAAAATTTGATCCTTGATTATATTAACATCATTGTTAGATTAATTAATGGATTACTAATTATTCTAATTATACTCAAATTATCATTAAATTAAAATTGTATTAATTTTGAACAACGATGAAAAACATCATAACTCGTGTAGAAAAATTTGATTCTTGATTATATTAACATCATTGTTAGATTAATTAATGGATTACTAATTACTCTAATTATAGACAAATTATAATATAATTAAAATTATATTAATTTTGAACAAAACGTATAAACAAAAAACAAACAAAAAATACAATATTATATATAATTAATACAATTCATGATTAATCCGAGTAAGAAGTATACGTAATAACTTCAATATAAAGGCACATAGTATATAATACAATTGAATTCGTACTGTAGGATAATATTAGCCGGACAAAACCGAGTATAACCGACGAGTTCTGCATTTTAAAGTAGTATCAATGTATTTGAGATGTTACCAACCGAACGAATTTCAAGTGTTTATTATTAACGAACGACGATTATGATCGTTCTTTTGCAATGAGTATTTCTTTTTTTTTTTCGGTGATCAGGGTTGTGAGGAGGGAGGAAGGAGTGCGTAGTAGAGGGGTTTCAATTCGTTGGTAGTAGATTCATTTTCTTTTTTTTTTTGAATAGTTGAATGAGGAGTAGGGGGAGGGAGGGGTATACACGCGACCATTTTACTCTGATTCATTGGTAAGCCTATTACTTTGCTAAGTAAATAGTTAGGGTAATCCGATTGGGTTGAGAGTGCTTACTTTCGCACGTTTTAACCATTAACGATGAGGTTCTTTTCATTGGTAACAAGAGTTGGACAATTCGAGTACCGTCACGGATATCGTGTCCTATCTTTCTTTCATTCACACACATACACACATAATCTCATACACACGTAGAGATAGAGGGTGGGATTATTTTCGTTGTTCCTTATTTTTACGAGGTATATTAAAAAAGAAAAAGAAAGAAACCCAATTGAACGAACTAAAAGAAGTGGGACACATGCGTTTATAGCAGCAGTTGCACTATCAACCAGCAACCAGCAGCAACCAGCAACAGCGGCTGGGATTTAAAAATTTGTTGCGTTTCTCTTCAGTGATCATCGTAACCTTGCAAAGAAATATACTTGTTTCTCGTCCTCGTTGATTTTCTTCTACGTATTCGTTTTACACCTACGTAAATACATATATGTCTGTCTGTCTGTCTGTCTGTTTCTGTATGTGTCTCTCTGTGAAAGTGTGTGTTTTATCGAGAATTGCTTGTTCAGTTCTTACCCGTTGTTAATTTTAATCCCCGAAACTATCCAACATGATCCTCGAAATAGCGTGATTATTTTCTTCCATTATTTTCCTACCCTGTTCTCGATTTTCGATTTTAATGAGTTAGATTGATGGGAAAGACTGCTACCTATTTGTTTTTTTTTCTTTTTTCAAATATCTCGATTCTAAAGGTTTATATAGGTTTTTGAAAAATAAAAAATGTTGAGTGAAACTAGACTTCTTGTAAGTTATTTAAACAAGAACTTGACAGCATCGATCATGAGTAACTTTTCTATTCAGGTAGGAAAAATTTGATCGAGATAAATGAATCGTATGAAAAAGAATTCACACCTGAAAATATTGAGTTCCCATGTCGCACGCATGCAGTCTGTGAATGATATCGAAAAAAGGGGATCACTGTGAGTTGTGTGTGGTATTTCCATTTCTGTTTTAAATTTCGGGGATATTTATAATATTTTTTTGAAAGAAAAAGGAAAAAATGAATCAATTGATATTATGGCAGATTTAACACTCCCACGACACATTTATTAGGAACTTCAGATAGAATTAGTGTCGTGTATCTCTAGCATAAACCGTCTAGGATAGATATAACTATCTTTGGCCTATTTGCTTATCCATTACGTGATGCCCAAAGGGAATTTCGCAAGACAGGTAAATAACTTAGTTATTCGTGATCGATCTTTTACTATGCAAACATTCTTGAACAATCATTTTCTTTTCAAATGATTACATTATGCAATGAAAATAATCAATCCTTTTAACGGATTTATCTTATAGAAGAGTTTAATTCAAAAATATTTTTCTTACCAACTCGTAGATCACTAAGTTACGTTTATCTACAAAATTATGATTGTTTAGGTGTTAGTCAAAACATTATGATCCAATTATTTTGTTTTATCAAATTAGTAACGTGAACGAATATTCGTGATGATGGTACTTTATATCACGTAAGTGAATATTTAGTTACAATATTTTCTTTATATATAAAAATTCAGTGTCACATTGTTGGTTGTCAATGAACTTCTAAACTACAAGACTGATCTTAATGAAATATTTTTTAATTAGTGTGATTTTTTGAGGTTATCTAAATATCTAGGTACTGTAAGTTTTAAATAGACGGCGCTGTATTACAATACAATTATTTCTATTTACATATGACATAACCTTATTTTTTCCAGTTTTTCGTGTATTATTATTTTATGTATTTCATTGTAATTGTGTTATTATTTGTTATGTTGTTATAACTTACTAAATAGTTTAGAATTATATTAAATCAACATTTTATAACAAAGCCACAGCAACCCGTGGTCGGAGCATCCTAGTCTTATATAACAAAAAAATAAAAGAATATTCCAATTGACACAAAAAGAAAATGTTCCATGAAAAAGAAAGAAATAAAGGAGGAAAAGAAAATAAACCAAATTGTCGTAGTTATGAATAAAGCGAAAAATTGGGGAGAAAAAGAAAGTTAATAAGAAATAGTTAGGATAAAAGGAAAACTATAACAATAGGTTGCTTGGTAAAAAGGTGGAAATAGATGTAAGAAAGAAATAAAGTAAAAAGGGAGAAGAATATGTTTCTCAGCATGTCTAGGTTCTTGATCCCAACGGTTGGGCTCTTAGGGGTACCGATTTAAAGGGGGAAAAGATTGGTGTACGAAATTAGGGGAGATTTTGAGGTGGGGTTGCGATATAAAAGATTCTTCTTTGGGAACCAGACTCAAGATTCGATCACAGGGGCTTGCTTGCTTTTTATATTTCGAGTCGACAAGGACCGTTGGGTAGTAGAATCTGCCTTTCCTCGTACACCGGTCATTTTCTCAAGGTTTCAAACCTTTTTTAGGGTCTTAACGACTCATCAAGCTAAACTTTTCTCAGAGTCCTCTGGGAAGAATCCTATCTTAGCTGATCCTTTCACATAAGTTTCATTTTATCTCGATGGAAGAAAAGGATCGTTTTTTGGATTACTGTCCATTTTTTTCTCTCTTTTTTTTAATTTCTTATCAAAATGTATTTGGTCGAGAGAATTTTATTAAACGTAAGTTTTGACGATTTTTAATTAATAAAATGTTGCAAAAAAATACTGAATCATTTGTAAAAGTCTGTAAAAATCTTTTCATTTCGTTTCGTTATTAATTATGGTGAGTTTCAATGACGTGTTTAAATACGATGATACATTAAATGGATCTAGATTAGATTTTAATTTTTTATCATAGATCGTTTTAATACGAATTCATATTATATAACTAAATCTTCCTATAAATTCTATGGAAACTCGAGAAAATCCTAGAATCCATGTAGAAACTTTCACGTTTATGTGCAACCACAGCTTAGAGAAATGTTTGCAGGAACATATACCGATACAGTATAACTAACGATTATTATTATCCTGATATATTGCATTACTATCAGCAGCAAATATTGTTTATCCGATCGAATAATTATAACAATTTTTCGCTTTTATTAACCAACATTACATATTCGGATCAATTTTATTTCAAACTTAATAAATCTGATCAAAGTATAAACGTATTTATATATATATATATATATACCAAATCGTAGGAATTTTATAATAAATTACAAAATGTTATTAATTATATCTTTTTCAAGGTTATGATAAATTAAAAACGATTTATTTATTTGAAAACAATTAAAAATATTCAACTAACATATTTTCTTTGAGATATTTTCATTGATAGAAAAAAAAAAGAAAACAATAACAAATAAAATATACGAGAAATATACTTTATTTATTATTTATTAATTTACAGAAACGCGAGAGATCGCCGGGAAAAAGAATGGACCGTTTAAGAAGAAGTTTTCGGGACAGTTTTAGACGACGAAAAGATCCTCACGTACCGGAATCTAGTAAACCGCATCAATGGCAACACGATGAAAGTGCAGTACGTTCGGCAACTTGCGCTTTTCACGTTAAAGTAAGTACCAATTTAGTTTATATTGTTGTTTGGAATTGGTTTTTTGTTTTTTTTTTTTCCTAAGACGATAAACCGTGAGTATACTTGAAAATTATATTAGATACGAAAAGGGTTTTTTATTTTTACCTTGAAAACTCTTACGGATATTCCTTATCGCCATCTAGTCGTTTCATCGGAAGTTAAACTAAGGGTGACACCCAAGTGGTGATCGATCTGATACCAAATTGGCTTCTTTAGATGACTTAGTTATTGTTCTTTATCTTCTTCCAAACGATACTCGAGATAATTATAAACCGATAAATAAGATTTATTATCACTTAAATGATTTTAAATGATCAACCTTTTTTTCCTATCTAATTTCATTATTTAAAACTTTTAAGATCGAATTTTGTAACTAATCATAAAATGTTTATTGATTAGTATGTTTTATGTGACCTCATAATTATGAAAGTGATCTGAATCATAGATTACATTTGAATACTAAATGAATTTTATATAATATTGAAATAACAGATTGAAATAAAAAAATAAATGAAAATTACATTGAATTAATTCATAAACTCATTTGTTCTTTTTTTTTTTAAATTTTGACTTAAAGATCACTTTCATAATTATGGACACACATTATGTCTTTTTAATGTTTTTTTTTTCTTGTGGTTACAGTATTTAGGATGTGTCGAGGTTTTCGAGTCGAGAGGAATGCAAGTTTGTGAAGAAGCATTGAAGGTGCTTAGGGTTAGTATAATTATACGATTAACAATTTTATAATGATTTATTCTTTTGTAAATATTGATTTGTTTTAACGTTTAACCCTTGGCCCTCCGAGCAATTTTTAACACGACGTTTTAGCAATTCTGGGTCATTTTGACCATGACCACTTTCAACTTTCGTTTTTTCGCGTTCTACACTACAAATAAAAATACGATCAAAAGAAATGGAGCAAGCTCGGTCACAAAACCGATTACACACACTAAGCGTGTGCAGAAACATTTTCCTATCTGTATAAAGATACAATTAACATTAAATGTTTATAGAATTCCAGAAGAAGGCCGGTTCGTGCAGTCCTCCATGTTTCCGGTGATGGATTGCGCGTAGTCGAAGATGAAACAAAAGGATTGATCGTTGATCAAACGATTGAAAAAGTATCATTTTGTGCACCAGATAGGAATCACGAAAAGGGTTTCAGTTATATTTGTAGGGATGGTACAACCAGACGGTGGATGTGTCATGGATTCTTGGCTTTAAAGGAGTCGGTAAGTCAGAAATCTATATTATCTTTTATAATAATAAAGTTGATTTTCAAAGGTTTCCTATTTTTCCTTCGGTCGGAATTAACGTTTTCCTTTTATTAAAATTATCAAACGTATATTTAAAAGATTACATTTCAACACTATATGAATTGTACAAAATATTGATAATAATAAACATTATCTAACGATTAATTTGTTGACAATTATATTAAATTAATTTAGTTTAAAATAATGTCGTGTAAAATAACTGATAAACTTATTTTTTTTTTTTTTACATTTTGACTTACAATTTAATCACTTTCATAATTATGAGCATATGTAATGAACGAAACATTATGATAGATAAAATAAACAGATTTTTCTGTAATTGGAAATCAAATTTATTCGTACGATTAACAATATGATGTTAAAAAAAAAGAAAGAAATTATTTATTGTAGAATTTTTGTATTTATCAGATAAATATTTAGATTTAATTTTTATATTTTGTATATAGTGGTTTATCTTATTGAAAATATAATTGTTTTGCAGGGTGAAAGATTGAGTCATGCTGTTGGATGTGCGTTTGCTGCGTGCTTGGAGAGAAAGCAACGTAGGGACAAAGAATGCGGTGTAACGATGACGTTCGATGCGAAGACGTCGACCTTTACGAGAAGTGGCAGCTTCAGGCAACCAAGTTTGACTGAAAGATTACAGGATACTCGGGAACGTCCTGTAGGTAGGTGATTTTTACTTTTCTTCTTCTTATTATTATTCTTCCATTTAAAAAAAGAAATAAAATAACCAAAAACCTTGAAAATTATTCATTGATTGTTTAAAATAAAAATTTATAAAAAATTCAATTTTATTCAATTGTGAAATATTATAAATAAATATAAATTTATAAGACCTTGAAAATTGATCGTTTAAAATAAAAATTTATAAAAAATAACAATTCAATTTTATCCAATTGTTTAAATAATATAAATATAAATTGTAAATTATTAATTTAAATGTGACATAGAAAATTCTTTCACATATATTTAAAAGAAAAGAAATCATTTTTAAAGACACGAATTATTTTGAAATAATAATATTTGTCGAATTACCCCCGAACCCCCTGTATTATTCAAAGTTTTTTAGAATGATACAAAGAAACAACAACAACAAAAAAAGAAAGAATAATAATTCACGTGTCGTATTGATTATAATTCTCGTTTGTATTTATTATAGATGTTGTTCCTCCGGTGAAGCAGGTGTACAACCCCTTCGCTATTGAGAGACCCCATGCCACACCTTCTATGTTAGAACGACAGGGTTCATTTAGGGGTTTTACTCAACTGAATCAAGCGTCTCCATTTAAAAGACAATTGAGTTTACGTGTAAACGATCTTCCTAGTAATCTCGAACGTACACGTAGCCATAGTCTCGAACCTACGGATTTATCGCGAATGCCATCAGCCATATCGCACATCGTACCTCTAAAACCGCCAGGTAAGATTCAATCCATTTCTTTTTCTTCTTCAATAATTTTTACGTGAAATTTATTTTATTTTTTTTTAGCTATTATTACATTTGAACGATCGCATAAACGCATATATGTACGACGTTTAATATGCAAAGTGTATCCGAAGTGTGTGTTTTCACGATTCGACAAGTAAAAATAATCTTAACAATAAAAGAAGTAACATTTTTTTTTCTTTTCTATTTTTTTTTTGCGATACAATCGAGTATTTTACAAATTCCGGGAGATTGTATTACACATAATATCGTCTCATTGTCAGATTATTTTTCAATAAACAGATACTTTCGTTAGCGCGTGTCTGTTGCAAACATTATAGAGGTCAATGTTTATATTATGACTTCAACCTCCGAGGATTTATTTCCATTTACGTAGTTTATTTTTCTTTCATCGAAAGAACTGTTAGGATGATGTAATACCAAGCGGTTTAATATTACCAACAACTATATCCGAATTATTTTTAACAGGTAATTTCAAAAGACAAATCACATTTGATTAATTAATTAATTTAATTATATTAGTTTATGGATATGGTTACTTATATATATATATATATATATATATATATAATAATTAATATTTTTTAATACTCTAATTTCTCAAAGGTTACTTTTTTACTTGAACTTATTTTTACACGGAGAATCAATTCGCTCCAATCTTTCCGAATACACCTTGCATAATAAATAATGAAATTAAATAAAACACGGACGATGATTTGAATAATATTCAATAATAATGTACCTCTTTTTTCTTCATTTTTTACAAACAGAGTACGAAGGATATGACGAAGGTCATTATTCAATAGTCTTCGTTCATATTTGCCTGCTCCCTTCGTTGTTTCTATCTTTTTTTTTTAATTCGTGCTCGTTTATGTTACACTTCATCTACTTTACAAACTCGAGTGGTTTTTTTATTTTTTCAATTTTTCATCGAGAGATCTATAAATGCAACGATAAATAAATAAAATAAAAAGAAATTAAAAAAAAAAAAAAAATAGGAGCATAGCTAGAAAAAGAATTGGATCGAAATCTCGATGTTAGCCTATTTCCTCCTCATCGTCGTCGTCTTCGTCATATTTGGTGTTTCCTTAAAACGATACAATGTTCTTTTTATTTTTCTTGCACAGTGAGTATTTTTTGTTTGTTTAGGTGAACATTGAGACACGAATGAAGATTATGGAATTCCTATTAACATTAACGTTGGTTCGATCAAGTTGTTGTTTCCTTTTTTCTTTTTTATTAAGAAAAGTATAAAATAATTGTATGAATAAAATAATATAACATTAAGAAAGAGAGAGAGAGAGAGAGAGAGAGAGAGAGAGAGAGAGAGATTTTGAAAAAATATTATAATTCGAGCCAACGTTAAAACAATATTTCAATTTTTAAAAAAATGGTATATATATATATATATATATACCATATATAATATATATATATATACATCTTTTTTTAGTTAGACGTTTATCCCAGTAGTAGAATTCATCGTATTATTTTTAATTTTTATTTTCATATTTTTTATTTCTTTCTAAAATGATTACACACTAGCTTGGACAATTACAGATCATTTTAGGACAATCGTTTGATCGAGTTGTTTTTCTAATGTTATAATTTTTACGCTTTGTTTATACGTTCCCAAACGTGATTCGGCATGCATTTCGATAGTAATCCAGCACACCCACCAGTTCGCTATAATTGTTCGTTACTTAACGTATAATATCGTATAAATAATATAATATTAATAATTAATATTAATTAAAATGTAATATTTTATTTGAACAGTTAGCCCAATACCAGAAATATCACCAGGTGGACAGGACAGTGTTTCTGCAATGTGTCAACAATTATCCCGTGGACTTTCTTTGCTATCTAGCAGCGACGATTATGGACCATTACCTTCCCAAGCAACAACTAGTTCGATAGCGAAGCAACTATTCATGAACACCAATAATACACCTCCTGGTAAAAATAATTTAATAACAAATTTTACACTTACAAGTTATCGCATTTAAAATGATATTTAAATCTTTAGATCGTAATTTTTTCTTCGTTACTAATTGCTTCTTTTTTTTAAATTTGTACAGTAACGAGTAGCAATTCATTGGACGATATAAAATTACAAAATGGTCCAAATTTGAACAACAACAATAACAACAACGACAAAAACGAAGACATAACGAATTTGAACGACGTTAGACCAAGTTGGCAAGAATCATCATCCTCACCGATTCTAGCAGTTAATCCTAGGCTAACGCCAGTATTAAACAAGGCTAGTAATTTAAGTCCTGTTCTTCCGAGGACTAGCACAGCAACACCTGTTGTTATGAGTACTCCAGCAGCTTCGAGTGTAGGTGTGTTTGGTGGTACACCAACAGCAGCCAGTCCTGCATTCAGCACGGCCTCTACCTCATCACTTGGAAGTACCTCAACAGCTGTTGCAATCAACAACAAATCGTCAATTTCAGTTAATAATTCAGTAGTCAATAAAATTGCAACAGTTAGGAGTACGTCACCTAACGTTAGCGTAGCGTCGTTATCTTCAACGTTATCGACAGCTGTCGCCACTGACGTATCTGGGATTTGTCCAATTACTATTCCTACCACTCCGGTAAGTTCTCATTGGAAATACTTTACGAATAGGAATCGTTTCATAATCAATTAATTCGAATAACGTTTAAAATGATTATAAAAAAAAAAAATAATAATAAAACACGTGTCAGATCACATAGGGTAGAATTGAAATGTTTAGAAAACTAAGCTTCGAGAGAATGAGACGAATTCAGAGTATTTGGAGTAAGATTATTGTAGGGTTTACTTATTATAATAGTAGCTGTGCCTCACTACGTGTTGCTGTGGCTCAGTTTGATTAAATAGAAAAGAAAAAAAGAAAGCATAAGTTTCTCCTCCGAGACGAACTCGATTTCTGTCCTCTCGGCCCTGATTGGAAACCTCAATCTTTTCCTAGACGAAAAAACGTATAAACGACATTTTTCCTGTAGAAGATAACATACCTTGACCCCTTCCCCCTTTAGAAGACGACACAAAATAATTAAACTCAATTTCAACATAATGTAACACAAAATTAAATATTAGAAATATTCAATTAAATGGAAATACAAATTGAATATAAATATTACAAAATCAGAATGCAAGCTAAAATATAACGTTATCGTGTAGATAAAGGTTAGACTAAGTTCAAATGTTCCGCTCATTCATCGAAATCTATGGCCAACAGATGGCGTTAGATTTACCAGTATATTTTTGTTTAAATTAATTAATTATTTTATTAATAAATTAATGTAATAAAAACATATCTGTATGTTAATGCAACGTTGTGTCAAAATTTGAAAATAATTTGTAAATTATACACACTCCATATTTTCTGTGTCTCCAGTCAAAGAACTAATTGATGTACGCATACAAATATAAACACATACAGAAACATTCACACGTGGAACGCTTAAACCAAAGCATATGCAGGCATACAAAGAAAGAAACAAACGTATACTGTATTTTATCTCATTCTCTCCTAGACTAAATCCTATAGATGTATATATGTTTGTCTCTTTTTAATAAGGTATTTTCGTTTCATCATTTAACGTACTTTCGTTTCACAATTTTCAAATGATCCCAATTTTAAAGAACTTTTCACTACAAAAATTGAATTAATTTGTAGGTTCAGCCAGTGTCAGCGGCAGGTAATTTACCGAAACCAGAACAATGGTTAGGAAGTATAACAGGAGCTGTACCAGTATCAACAACAACATCTCAAGCAATATCATCGTCAATATCTCAATCATCTAACAGTCCACGAAGAGCACCACTGTTACATACAAGGGCATTATCACTCGGTTCGGCAGCAATGAGTGGTCAAGTTAGCAGCAGCAGAGGCGGTGGCGGTGGACCTTCCGATCCCTTCGATGCCGAATGGGCAGAAATAGCGGCGAGAAATTTACGACAATCAACTACTACCAATCCATTTGTCGTTCCTAATGCTACACAGGCGTTTCAGGTGCAATTGTAGCGCCAGGAGTTCGTCAACAGCGTCGCTAAATATTTTCGATCTAACACATAGTGACGGTTGCATGTACGCTCGCGCCTCGATTTAACCAATGATCGTAGGTATTATACCTAAACAAAAAGGAGAAATTAAAAGAAGATTCTAAACGAATTATTAAAGAAAAAAAAATTAAAAGAAATAAGAAGAAGAGAAAGAAAATAAAGAGGATCTCAAAAAAAGGGGTTATATAACGGAAAAAAGTAGTAATGATAATTATCGTTAAAATTTGTCGAGGGAAAAAATATTGGAGATCTCTTTGACAACGTAACAACACCCACTATCATCATCTTAGTCATCTGATTGTTGTTGTTGTTGTTGTTGTTACATTGGAATATTATTATTGGTGTTACAACAAAATTATGATATTTAATATGAGGACGAGCGTTTAAAGGCAACGAATTTTGCACACAAGAATAATGAAGAAAATTTTGGAAGGAAGAATTATAGAATTAGAAGGGACGACGAAAGGGTTACTAATTCGGGGAGGAAGGAATGAATTAAAAAAAAGAAAATATCTTAGAGATAATTATCGCTTAATTATTGTAGTTAGAAAACAAAGTACGCGCACAGCCTCGATAGAAGCACGCATTAATGTTAGAAGGACGTTGATGATAATGCTATACGATTATGATGATAATTATAATGACGATGATGACGATGATTTATAATGCACGCTCAATATATAAAAAAAAAAAATATATATATAAATATATGGGAGAAGAAGAAGAATGTTTAAGTGAGAAGACGAGGCGTAAATGTGCTTTTTAAAAATTATATATATGTATATACATAGATATATATAATACTTATATATATTATATTTATTATATAATATATTATTTATATATATGTATGTATATATGTATATGTATCTTTCGACCGTTTTGAGGAAAAGACTGTAGACGACGATATATCTATATATATAAAAAAAGAGTACTTAACAGAAAAAAATGGAAGCAGCCATAAATAAATAAGACAGAGAGAAGAAAGAGAAAGAAAATGGGTTACGTATCTGCTAGTTGCATATTTAAATGTTCATCACAAAATACGAGATTAAATAATGAGAAAATGAGAAAAAAAAATAAAAAAATAATAATTCAATAAACATTATCCGATTATTAAAAAGTAATTTCGATAGTGTAGGCTCTACAAACGTGAGAGCGGTTATCGTTGTTCTGCATGAGATGCAAAATTGTATGCACCAAAAAAAGATGATTAACGCTGCACCGAGTCTAAACAAATAACTTCCTATATATAACACCCGTTTTTTGAAAGAAAGATAAAGAGAAAGAAAGAAAGAAAGAGATATATTTTATTCTTATTTATTTTATATTTATCGGTTTTGGTTCTTTTTTCATTTTTTTTAATCGATGATTGAAGAAAATTATCAAAATGTAATAATAAGGATAAAGTATGAGAAAGAAATGAACGAAACAAAGAATAATTTGTAAACGTAGTCGGTTTGGAAGAATTTATTTCATTCAAATGATATTCGATTATTTTTACATATTTTTTTTTTTTTTAATAATTCGATATTATCTCAATAATAATTTTGTTTTACATTCGGATAAAATTTAGCCCGTACGTTTTAATAATTATTCGTGTGATGGAAAACATTAGGAAAATAACTGATAATTACGATCATGAATTCTTTATATTTATTTTCTTTTTTTTTCTTCTTTCTTTTTTTTTTTTAATCAGAAAGCACCACACCGACTACGAGTAACTCTACTGTTTATGACGAAAAAAAAAATCTTATCCGGCAAAAATACAAGCACGTAGTTTACTTAATTAAAAAATATAAATGAACAATTTTAGATGTTGAAATTAGAGAGCAGTAACGTTCTGCACTATCGTTGTCTATTATTATAAAAAACATATGATCGAATTGCATTTAAATATTATCGAGGATTAAATATATGAATGATATCTATGAAACGAAAGAAGGAAGGAAAAAAAGAAAAAAAAACAAGAAAAAATACGACAAAATTATTATTCAATTCAAAATACTTACAATGAATATCGGGGGATACGATGATGTGTGTGCGTGTATGCGTGCGTTCGTGCGTGCGTGTGCGTGTGCGTGTGCGTGTATATCATGACGTAAGCATTGCATATCGATATTAAATTAATAAATTGATTTATGAATATAAATGAAATGAGAGTATTAAAGAAAGAAAGAGAAAAAAACGATCGTCAAACTTTGACGAGATTTATGTGATGAAAATGAAAAAGAAATAAGAGAAGAAATAAATAATTTCAAAACTCATCAGTCCCATATACCAATAAGGATTAAACAAACAAATAATACGATAAAAAATGATAAAAAAATAAAATTAAAAAAAAAAAAAAGAAATAAAACCTATTAATTAAAGAAATAAGAAACAAATCTATGGGTAGTTATTTTGTCTCGGGGCTTTCTGTCTTTCATTATCATTGGGCTAAACGCTTTCATTTTTTTTTATTTTTTTTTTAAATAATTTTTTTTTTTTTTCGTAACGGATAGGAAGTAGAGAGAAAATTGAAGGAATTAATATGATTGGAATCTGTAAGAGAAAGAGAAAGAAAGAGAAAGAAAGAGAAAGAGAGAGAACGACGAAAGAGAGCGTGTTTATCGTATAAATAAGTAAAATAAATTAAGAAACAATTGTATTTTTTTCAATTGTTTTTTTTTTTCATTTTTTAACTCAATTTTTCTTTTTTACCATTGTACGCGCTTCTCGATTGTTGCACTTGAACGACATTGTATGCATTGTATATAAAATAGTAATTTAAATGTTATTTGATAGAAAGAAATAAAGAGAGAAAGAGAGAGAGAAAGAGAGAAAGAGAGAGAGAGAAAGAGAGAAAGAATGTGTGAATATTGGTAACTGAACAGCTGAGAAAACGACGACGAATGATTTCATATAAGAATAATAATATAATAATCAAGTTATATATTTTGTTTGAAATTTTTATCAAATATTGTTTATAATTTCGTTTTAAGATATTTATTTATTGAAATGATTTTCATAATAATAATAATAAAAATAATAATAATAAAAATAATAATAATAATAATAATAATTATAATTATAACGACGACGAATGGTTTTATTTAAAATATAATTATTGTATTATTTATTTTAATTTCAACCAATATCGTGTTCAATTTTTCTTTAAGGAATTTATTTATTAAATTATATATATATTTTTTTCTTATAGGAGAATTTTTTAAGTTAAATTTTAGAAGAATTATTCTGTCATTTTATATTTTTTGTTGACAGATCAATTTATTAGACTTTAACCTCTCCGAATTAAAGATTTATCGAGTATATAATTAAATATATATTCCGATAAAGTGATATATATATATATCACATATATATTTTATATGTGAGTTAGAATTCTTATAATCAATAATAAATTATATAAAAATCGTTTTAACGAAATCTATGAACAAACTTAAAAAAATTATTCGTTAGCTTTTAATGATTAGATTGTATTCGAAAGAAAAACAAATATTTTATTTAAAAAAAATCGTCCTTTATAACGAGAGAATTCAATTTTTTAATTAATTAAAAATTTTCTCTTCGTTGTTTAACGTTAAACGAATAATAAATAAATAAATAAAAAAATAAATAAATAAACAAAATGAAATGAAATAAAATAAAAGTAATGAATAAATATACATTCGTCGTCGTAAATTTTTCAGTGGTTTCAGTATATGGATGGTTTTCGCGAAGCCACACCTTCCGTCCGTTCCCGAAAATCAAAAGAGAATTTAATAGGAAAAGAAAAAAGAGAAAAAAAAAATGAAAAACTGACAAGTAAAAAAGAGAAAGTAAGAGAAAGAAAAAGATTAAAAAAATCCCCATCCCCCTTCTCCCCTCAAAAAAGAGGAAAGAATTATAAATATAATTTTCATAATCTAAAAAAAAGGTACACACACACACACGTGTATTTGCGGCTGTACTTATATAAACACGTTGGTGGTTTAGTCCATGATGTATATGTACTTAAAAAAAAAAAAAAAAAACAAAACAAAAATAAACACACTGAATAAAAAAACATACATACACAAAGAAGTACACGTGAAAAATAGCAACTACAAGCAAGAAAGTAAACAAACATACAAATTTACACTCAATCGTACATACACATATATACACATATATAATTAAAAAACATACACACACATAAATATTATACGGAGAGAACACGAGCTATGTGCGTTTTGTTTATTCCGCGTTCGTCATTGGTGAGTGAAATTTCGTCGGCGTCTTTCTCAGTTAAATCAAGCGAGCTTAAATTTTTAGGTTTTTCTCATGAGGGGAAAGCTGTTCGAGCGTGCGTAAAGAAAATAAATCAAAGGAATTTCAAATGAAAAAATTGATTGAATTAGAAAATGAAAGTGAGTGAGAAAGAGAGAGAGAGAGAGAGAGAGAGAGAGAGAGAGAGAGTAAGAGTAAGAGAATGAAAGATAGTAAAAAAGTGTGAGGTGAAACGTGTATATAAATTTGCCACGACGATTCGTCTTAGATACTTATTATTATTATTATTAATATTAATATTAATATTATATATTATTATATTATTATTATTATTATTATTATTATTATTATTAATATTATTATTATAATTATTGTTTTGATTTCTATTTTCCTATTTTTATTTAACCTTTTCTACATTTGAGTTTTTTTTTTCTATACATAAACCTTCGTAGAATTTTTTTGAACCTTTTTCCCTTATTCTTTCCACTTTCCTTTCATTGTTCCACACGTGTATATTGGGTGAACGTGTAATTAATTCGGGAGCTTATTTAAAAAAAATGAATCAACGAGTGCCGGACACCATCAGTTTGTACGATCTTAATGTAAATCTTTTTTGTTTTGTTTTCTTTAGGAAAATTCTAATACTGTATTTTAAATGCGTTTTAGAATGCGACGACACGTAGAATAGACGACGATAAAAGAATATAGAAAAAAGAGAGACAGAAAGAAAAAAATGTTTGTTCCACTTGTTTTGTTTGATCATTTTTCATCCCTTTCTTTTATTTCGAATCTTATATTTTCCCTTTCACCAATACCTCAATTCCCTCTCTCCACCGGATTCGTGTCTTTCTTCTCTCATTCTCTAACATTGTCCCTTTTGTTTTTTTTTTGGGCTTTTTAATTTTTTTTTTTCATGGAACGAGATCTGGAAATGTTATATAGAATGTTCAGAATGTTTTTGATGTCTCGAAATTTTTGTAAAATTTGAGGAAAAATAGAAAATAAAGACAAATAATAATAATAATAATAATAATAATAATAATAATAATAATAATAATAATAATAATAAAATAGAAAAAAAGTGCAGCAAAAATTTGGGACACCCAGAAAACAGAATCAAAGAACGAAGTAATAAAAACTAAAAAAAAAAAGAAAGAGAGAAAAATGAAAAAGAAAGAAAAATAAAGAATTGACATAATGAAGTATCGCGTGCCAAATTTGTGAAAGTGCAACCGTGTTGGCTTCTAAATTCGGCGATTATCGTTTAGGCGAGCTTTCGTGGTTGTTGTGTAATTGTATATATATTATAATGTTGCCGATTCGATTCCTGGATCAAACGTACAACTTATCAAATTGCGTGTATATTTCGTAAAAGAAAAAAAAATATCCTTGTTCGTTTTACAATGTATCTCTGCCCCATTGTAAAGATACGATTTATTATATAATGTCTGTTGTGATTACGAAAAAAAAATCGTCTACTAATTTTTTTCTTTTTTTTTGTGAATTTTTGTTATATATATATATATATATATAATATACTTAAGTAAATAATTTTATGCATATATTACATATACGCGTATGAGTATGTGTAATAATGTGTATAAGAAAAACATATTTTAACAAACGTTTTTTTTTTTGAAATCATCATAAATTATTATTATTATTAAAGATTACCAATGAAAATTAAATTGAAAAACATATTATTGCATTAGGATTGAAGAAACAAACGCATAAATGTTTTTGGACGTTTTCTCTTTTTTTTTAGTTTTCCTTTTTTTTCCCTAATCGTCGTAAAAATTCTGCTGATGTGTAACCTAAAAAAAAAAAAAATATAG